TAACCTCTAAGTTTAAGCTAGTTTTCTGTACTTCGTCTATAGTTTGATTCAAAATTGCAAACCGTAAGAAATTTATACTAGTAAGATTATGATTATTCATGTATTATTATATGAATAGTAACACAATTATTATTCAGAGTCAAGTGGAGATAGAGACAGCACTGCATCTGCATAAACAAGCCATGCAAAATAGCCCATGACTTGGGGCTGGCGCTGTGGCTTAGTGGGTAAAGCCACTGCTTGCAGTGCCAGCATCCCATATGGGCGCCAGTTCGAGTCCCGGCTGCTCCACTTCCGATCCAGCTCTCTGCTATGGCCTAGAATAGCAGTAGAAGATGGGCCAAGTCCTTGGGCCTCTGCACCTGTGTGAGAGACCATGAAGAAGCTGGCTCCTGGCTTCGGATCAGTGCAGCTCCTTTGACTTACAAATAAATAAATAAATCTTTAAAAGAAAAAACCTTTTTAAATGTTTTTAAAAAAAGCCATATCTTCCATTAGATTCCCCCAATTACCTAACTTCCTATGTTTTACCTTCCTAATAAGCACAAACTATTTTGCTACTTTATTGTCCTTTTTGCGCAATATTTTGTCTTTTGTTAAGATGGTGTATACCACCATCACCACCCCTGGGGGAGGAAGAGTAGTTGCTTCTTTGGGTCTTATTTTCTATGAAGTCCTTTGTGCATGTAAAGACTAAAATATTAGCATCCAAGTTTGTATGTCTTCTCTCTTGATAACCTGTATCATATGTCTCTTGATAATCAGTTTCATTTCTCTTCCTGGTACAAGAAAAGGGGAAAGCTTAGCAAGGGACATTTATGACATACTTTTAGAACTATAGGGAAAGACTATGTCTGGCTTAATTGCCTTCAGTTCAAAATAATCATTATGCCAAAGCAGCATATTTTAGGAAGGCATATTCTGATTCTCTTTAACCATTTCACATATCTAAGATCTTCCAGAATACTAAACATATTTTTAATCAATGTTCCTATTAAAGACAATGTTTAATCAGTAACTCTTATCTTCCCTGTTCTAATTTGCACCAGTTGCTTTCTAGGCCTTTCTACATCTGATAATTTCACATTTCTTTTCATTCTGTTCCTTGAGCAGTTCTTTTGTTTGTTGGATTTGTTTTTTCCTTTTGCTATACTGTATATTCCCTATATTGCTTACTTCAATACCAGGAAAGGTAAATGGGGGAAATTTTGAATCACTAACTATATTGTTTTGTCTTTACTCTTCAGGAACACTTCAGCAAACTGTAGAACCTGCATTCAAAAGAATTTTCCCTGAGAACTTTTAATCCATGTCCCACTGTACACTAGCCTAAATATTATATATATATAATATATATATAATATTATTAGGGGAGAGGTATTCTGTCAATTTTCTCTGCAAGCTTCACACTGGGAACTTTTAAATTTCAACAGACTACTTCTTGGTTCTCCATGAGTAATTTCCATCTGAAAAGTCTCTGTTTCCTTCAGAGAAATGTTCCCTGTTGTTTGCTTCACTGCTCGTCCCCTCTTTGGTCTTTGTTTTCTCACCTTGGATTAGTTCTAAATCTACTCTCCATCTCCAGCTTCCAACAGTTTCTCTTTCTGTCATGCTCTACATTTGGACCTATTTTCTCCACTTTATCTCTTAGGTTGCTAGTTTAGTTTTGAGCTACACCAAAGAATTCTATTGAATTCTACTGAATTCTGTTAAATTTTATTGAAGGAAGCAATGTCTAATTTTTTAAGACCTCTTGCATGTTTTCGGCCTGCTCCTCTTAATAGTAGCCTTTTCTTACTGAATGCAGTGCCCTCTTACATATCTCTGAGGAGACTAATTCAAGTTTTTATTATCTCCTTTCTTTCTATTTCTCCCACAGCCAATTGTTTCTTTATGCACCTTGGTATTTTTCTTACATCAAATATTTGATAAGCTTTGATTGATTGGTAATCATTTTTTAACAAAATGTCTATTGGTTGATGAGCATAGGTAAGTAGCATAGTTCATTTTTGCAATTTAGAAAAACAGCTTTGGGGCCAGCGCTGTGGCATAGCAGGTAAAGCTGCCACCTGCAGTGCCCAGTACCCCATATGGGTACCAGTTTGAGTCCCAGCGGCTCCACTTGTGATCCAGCTCTCTGCTATGGCCTGGGAAAACAGTAGAAGATGGCCCATGTCCTTGGGCCCCTGCACCCACATGGGAGACCTGGAAGAAGCTCCTGGCTCCTGGCTTCAGATCAGCATGTCTTCGGCCATTGCGGTCATCTGGGGAGTGAACCAACAAATGGAGGATCTCTCTCTCTCTCTCTCTCTCTCTGTGCTTCTGCCTCTACTTCTCTGTATTTCTGACTTTCAAACAAATAAATAATCTTTTTAAAAAATAGAAAGAAAACCAGTTTATTGGTCTTGCATTTTGGATTCAATTTGGTCATGTAGAGAAGTTTAGTGTTTGCCTCCACTTCCACCAAGATAATCCAAAGCAGCTAGATGCACAGGGGCCTCTGAGACAGTCCTGCACTCTCTCAGGGCAGACTGAGCCCGTGGCTCCAGCTGGACCCATCAGGGCAGTGGCGGTTCTGGAGCCCAGGCCCACACAGTGCTTTGTGCTGATAGACAATGGGGACCAGGCACTTGGAGTAGCCCCTGGTGCTCTGGAAATAGGATTTGAGAATCACCCTCTTTCCCATGCCATGTCTCCTTCCACCATGTGAAAAAATATCACATGTTGCTGCTGGGTTCACATGCACCTGCCCATTTGGAGAGACATAGTGCAGGCCCAGCTCCCGGCACTCGGGGGAGGGTTCTCATATTGGAGTCAGGGACACACTGCAGAGTGAGTCTGCTCTCCAGACAGTACACACCTGGGTGAGTGAAGTGCACTGGCATTGTGACCTCACTCTAAACTGTGAATCAGCTATTTCACCCTGGCACAGAGAAAAGCTGGGACTGCAAAGATACCAGCTGACTCCAACATCCTCTCCCCCCACCGACTGTAACCAGAGATACCCCCACACCTGTCTTGGATGTCAGTCTGGACTCTTGCCCTACCCACAAATAGTGGCCACAGATCCCTGGCCTCAACTAGCAAACATCCTTAGAGGTCAAGTGTAAGCCTTGGACCACTCCTCCACCTCCAACAACCAAACCCAAAGGCATATTTCCAGCAATAAAGCCTTCAGAAAAAAATTAATAACTCCAGAAGTGATAGAAACAAGGGTCCACTCAGCTGCACAAAAATCAATGTAGAAACGCAAATAAACATGAAGAAGGAAGGCAATACGACCCCTCACAAGGAACACAGTAATGCATTCCTTTTGGACTGTGAAGACAGGGAGATTGACAAAATCCCTGAAAAAGAATTCAAAGAATGATTTTAAGGTTACTCAAAAAATGCAGAGAAAGAGTTAAATGTGATTTGGATCTCAGTACATGAAATGGACAAACAATTCAGCAAATGGAGGTAGAAATATTGAAAAAGAACCAAATAGAAATATTGGAAACAAAGTGCTCAGTAAGTCAAACAAAAAATACAGTGGAAGACCTTACAACAGGCAGAAGAAAGAATATCCAACCTAAAAGACCAGTTTTTTGAAATGGATAAAAAAAAAAGAAGAAAAAAAAAAAAAAAAAACAAAAGAACAAAAACAATTGTTTAGGTCTATGGGATAACTTCAAATGACAAAATATGATCTTAGGAATTCTTAAATGAATGGAAAAACAGAGGGTTTGAAAAACATATTCAATGAAAGAATAGCAGAAAATTCTCCCAGTTTGGAGAAAGATATGGACATCCAAATACAGAAGTGCAAAACCCCCAAATAGGCATGATCAGAAAAGATCCTTGCCAATATATATTGTAGTCAAACTTCCAAAAGTAAAACATAGAGAGAATATCCTAAAATTTGCAAGCGAGAAGTTCCGGGACTAGAACCTGGTGTGCCTGCACCGCAAGGCAGAGGATTAGCCTAATGAGCCGCGGCGCTGGCCAATACTAGACTTTTCAACAGAAACCCTACAGGCCAGGGGAGAATTGAGAGACATGGTCCAGGTTCTAAGAGAAAAAAATCTTCCACCCCAGAATGTTTTACCCTGCAAAGCTCTCATTCATAAATGAAAGTGAAATAAAAATCTTCCCAAACAAGCAAAAATTGAAAGAATTTGTCACCAGCCAGCCAATTTTGTAAATGGTACTTAAGGATGTACTACATACAAACAGAGAAAGACAATCAGTATCATGAAAGAATATGAAGGTAGGAAACACCCAAGTTAAAGAACAAAGGAGACTTGGCCAGTGCCATGGCTCACTAGGCTAATCCTCCACCTGTAGCACCGGTACCCCGGGTTCTAGTCCCAGTTGGGGCGCCGGGTTCTGTCCCGGTTGCTCCTCTTCCAGTCCAGATCTCTGCTGTGGCCCGGGAGTGCAGTGGAGGATGGCCCAAGTGTTTGGGCCCCTGCACCCGCATTGGAGACCAGGAGGAAGCACCTGGCTCCTGGCTTCAGATCAGCGCAGTGTGCCAAAGGTAGTGGCCATTTGGGGGGTGAACCAACGGAAGGAAGACCTTTCTCCCTGTCTCTCTCTCTCATTGTCTAATTCTATCTGTCAAACAAAAAAATTAAAAAAAGATAATTCAAGAGGAAGGTACATATCATATAGGTTACTAAAATCGCTTACCATTTATAGTTTCTGTTAGAAGTGGTAAATTATAAGCCTTATTAGATACATATTCTGAGAGCTGGAACCGATTGGGCTTGACAATAGGAATGGATCAAACTATTTCCTCTTGTTTCAAGTTTTCAGCAAAGTGGTCATTATTTTATTTTTCTTTGTCCTTACAAAAATGCATTCATCAGGGTCTACTAGGCAGGCTTTCTCTGAAAAATTCCATAGGCGTTCACAGTGCCTACATGATGAAGTACGGTCATCACTTAGCCATGCTAGTGAGCGGTGGACAAGGAGACCACCTCCACATTCTCCCCAAAGGCAGGAAATAACAATGTGTCTTTGACTCAGTACAACTTTATTTTTTACCATATAGTAAAGGTATCTGATTACCTGCAATCCCTAAAATTCAATCAAAATGATAAAAAAACTGTGAAGACAAAATACGGGAGGAAATGGATGATTGTTTGGTTTTCTTTTTGTGCCTTCCTATTTGGAAGTCTTGCCCTTTGTGAGCCCACACTGGATACACATCTTTACTAGCAAGTGAAAACACAAAACACCAGGGATCAACTGGAGATAACATCCTGCCAAGTCAGGGCAAGGTGGAATTCACGCCAGCTTCCCATTCACCCCATGGGGCCACCAACTCCCCGCAGCCAAGCGTGGGCCATGACAACTTCTCCATTGGCGAAGATCAGTGTTTCACAGTGATGGTTTTGATTTCAGTGAAGAAGTCATAGGAGTCCTTGAGTCCTTCCCTTCCTACCCCAGAACTTTTCATCCCTCCGAAAGGCAGGTTCAGCTCTCTGATGAGCCAACAGTTAGTCCACACCAAGCCGGCCTGCAGCTTCTTGGCCACTCGGTGGATGCGCCCCACATTGCTTGACCACACCGTGGCTGCCAGGCCATATTTAACATTGTTGGCTCTTTTGATCACTTCCTCTTCACTATCAAAGGGGACGACACACGTCACTGGGCCAAATATCTCCTCCTTCATGCAGCAGGAATCATCCTTAATGTCTGTTATCACCGTGGGAAGCATAAAGTAGCCGGCCTGGTTTCGGGGGGGCAGGTTCAACTTATCCACGCCCTCCCCACACAGAATCTGAGCCCCTTCAGCACGGGCTTTTTCGATGTAACTTCTGACCTGGGTGGTCAAAAACCATAATTAGCAACATGTCACCTTCCGGCTTCACACAAAGCAGCAGAACATTCAGTATTTCTAATCATCAGAGAGACTTAAGGTCATGGCCAAGAAATCTAGGGTTCATTATCTCATCACTCAGCTGTTAAGTCCAAGTGCAGAATTGTTCCAACCGTCATGTGGGCACTGAGTCCTCCTACATAGAGGAGGGAAGTCATTTATTTAATGTCTAAGTGCCAGGCACTCTGCAAAGTGCTTTTCCTACATTCATACTTGATTCTCTCCCAATGTTATTAGCTATTTTTATCTATTATTATCCCCTATTTGCTGATGATATAATTGAGCCTCGGAAAGTAGAAAAATGGTTCCTAGCACTAATAAACAATAAAGCTAGAATTCACATTTGGGCTTATTTTGCAGTTAAATACACAAAAGAATATTTTGTCCATTTGAAGCAGCTATGTCCATTATAGAAAATGAGAAGTCAATGATACGTAAGATTTAGGTAAAGGCCAGGATCTCTCTCAATAGTTGCACTTCTAAAATAATCATGTTTAATTTCTGGTTTCATTACTGGTTATACTCTGAAAATACATCTAGGTAATATATAATTAATGATAATGGGAAATAAGTTATATAATAAGTTAACCCCTTGGCTCAGAGATAGCAACAGATAAATGGTTGTAGAAATAACTCATTATAATAACTATGTATGTGTGTGTATGTTTATGTGGAAGTCTTGCTGAAGTCCCAATGATAGATACATTATTCTACCCAAAGGGGTATTATAAGCATAAGAACAGAAGAAAAATAGTCCTCAATATTAAAAGGCTAGAAGAGCAGTTGAGTAATAAATCAAAGGCAAGGTCAGTTTTGAAATAATGTTTCAGATTCCTTCTTATCCTTTCTCTCTCTGAGCATTCTGCCCCAGAATTAGATTAAGACTCCTCTGTACAACACAGTGAATGCAGAACTATATTTGTCCATTTGCCATGTGAAAGAATAACTAATGCTATTCTATTATTAATCTCCTTCCAGTTTGCAGAATTCTTAATAAGCCTCAAAGTTAAAGACTTTTTTAAAGATACAACATTTGGCACCAATTTGTATTCCCCTCCACTCTACCCTCTCCGCCAGCATCCACAAGGACCTCAAAGCTTTCCCAGAACTTACCCTATTCCAGTGTGTGGCTACAGAATAAACTAGGTCTGCACTTCTCTTTCCCCTACTCTCTTGATCCTTTTGAAACCACACACCCACATTAACCACACACCCACCCAAAAATGGGTGACCTGTAGGAAGGAAAGTCCATGGAGAGGTCTCTAGATGTGCTGCCTGGGAGCAGTGCTGGACTTGTGTAGATATTGAGAACAGTGTGAGGCATGCTTTTGCTTTAGCTTATCATATCTAAACGCGATTACAACACCCTCTTATCCCCAAGGGACACATTCCAAGACAACCATGGGTGTCAGCAACCATAGGTAGAACTGAACCTTACATGCCCCAGGGTTTTTTCTATCGGTACATACCTGTGATAAAATGCAATTTATAAATCAGGTACTGTAAGAGATTAACAGCAATAGCTAATAATGAAATAGAAAGTTATAGCTGTGTACTGCAACAAGAGCAATGTGAATGTGGTCTTTCTCCCTTGAAATACCTTCAATATTTGCAGGCTGTGGTTGAGCACGGCTAACTGAAACCACAGGAAGCAAAGCCCCAGACAAGGGCAGACTACTGCACATGCTTTATCTCAGGAAAATAAAAGAGGAAGGGATGTGTCCATGTCCAAATTGTGAATATACCAAAATGTTTAATGTATAAGGTGTCTCGCACAAAATTGAATTTATATCCTAGAGAACGTCAGACTGCATGACAGAATGGTATTTCCCCTTGCAGATCAAGAACTAAGATTTTCAGTAAAATCTGAAGAAGAAAAAAAAAAAAAAACTCTTATGTCTGGTACTGTGCTTCAAAAGTAAGAAATTACTATCATAAAACTTTTCCTTCGATGATAAGGGATAGTTAATATTTAGTGCCTTTGAACATAAAACTAAAGCACAGAGGTTAAAGGAGTGGTCTTGGGAACACTAAGGTATTCAGCTCTCAGTTTCTCCACTTACTAGTTGGGAGCTTTTAAGTGGTCTATGCCTTGGTTTCCCCATCTGGAAAAATAGGATTAATGCTGTCACTTAGGGCTCTTACAAACATTAAATAAAATAATGTATATAAAAATTATTTCACACAATGCCTGGCACATGGTAAGTCTTGTTTTAGTCATTTATTTTATTTATTTGAGAGAGAGGGATACTGCTCCCACCTGCTGGTTCACTGCCCAAATGCCCACAATGGCAGGAGCCAGGAAAACAACCCAGCTCTCCACGTGGGTAGCAGAGACTCAGCTACTTGAGAGATCACCTGCTGCCTCCCCAGGGTATAACCTTAAAAAGAAACTGGAATTGAAATAGGCTTGAGAGTCAAACCCAGGAAGTACAAATAGAAACTAGGTATCTCGGGGCTGGTGCTGTGGCACAGCGGGTTAAAGCCCTGACTTGAGGTGCAGGCATCCCCTATGGGCGCCGGTTCTAGTCCCGGCTGCTCCCCTTCCAGTCCAGCTCTCTGCTGTGGCCTGGGAAAGCAGTGGAGGAGGGCCCAGGTCCTTGGGCCCCTGCACCCATGTGGGAGACCTGAGGGAGGCTCCTGGCTCCTGACTTTGGATCAGCTCAGCTCTGGCTGTTACGGCCATCTGAGGGGGTGAACCAGCAGATGAAAGACCTCTCTCTCTATCTCTGCCTCTCTCTGTAACTCTTTCAACTAAATAAAATAAATCTTTAAAAATAAATCAGAGCCGACGCCATGGCTCACTAGGCTAATCCTCTGCCTTGCGGCGCTGGCACACCGGGTTCTAGTCCTGGTCAGGGCGCCGGATTCTGTCCCGGTTGCCCCTCTTCCAGGCCAGCTCTCTGCTGTGGCCCGGGAGGGCAATGGAGGATGGCCCAAGTGCTTGGGCCCTGCACCCCATGGGAGACCAGGATAAGTACCTGGCTCCTGCCTTCGGATCAGCATGGTGCGCCGGCCGCAGCGTGCCAGCAGCGGCAGCCATTGGAGGGTGAACCAACGGCAAAGGAAGACCTTTCTGTCTGTCTCTCTCTCTCACTGTCCACTCTGCCTGTCAAAAAAAAAAAAATAAATCAGGTATTGCAAGCAGTGACTCAACTGCTAGACCAAACACTCATCCCAATGGTCCTTTCTTGAACAGCAGCTGTAACTTTGATGCTGGTGATGATGGCGATGAGAAAGATACTGGAATCCACGTTTCTCTGTGATTTTGCTTTCTGTTATTTCAGTTACCTATGATCAACCAAGGTCCAAGTACATAAAATGGAAAATTCCAGAAATCAGTTTTAAACTGCACATCTTCTGCATAGCATGACGAAAATCCCATGCTGTCCTACTCCATTCCACCAGGGACATAAATCATCCCTTGAACAGTGTATCCGGGCTGTATACACTACCCTTCTATTAATCACTTAGTAGCCACACTGGTTATCAGACTGATCATCCCTGCATCACAGTGCTGTGTTCAGGGTTCAGTACCATCCACAGTTTCAGGCATCCACTGGAGGTCTGGGAATGTAGCCCCTGGGATAATTTAATGAGGAAGAAGAGATAGTGCATGATCTGACACTTACTGGCTGAGACCTCAGAGATACCCCTCACTCTGTATGTCAATTTTGTTTTTAATCTGAGAAAAGTGGACAGGGAACTGTCAGAGCAGGCCCTACATAGGCCTGGTGCCTTGCCTTAGTGGAGGTTGAACTATGAACTTCTGTGCCTCCTCAGGTCTCACTGTGAACACCCCAGAATTCTCTCTCTTTTTACATCCTTGGAAGGCCACATAGCCAGATTCTCCAGAGTGCCTAATTGGAGAAGACACCAGAAGAGTGAACAGAGAAACAAAGGAGCTGGCACTGTGGTGCAGCAGATTAAGCTACCACCTGGGACACAGGCATCCCATATGAGCACCAGTTCAAGTCCTGGCTGCTCCACTTCTGATCCAGTCTTTGTTAACACACCAGAAAAGGCAAAGAAGATAGGCCCGGTACTTGGGCCCCTGTCATGCAACTGAGAGACCTACATGGAACTCCTGGCTCCTGGTTTCAGCCTGCCCAGCCCTGGCTGTTGCCATTATTTGGGGGAGTAAACCAGTGGATGGAAGATCTCTCTCTCTCTCCCTCTCTCCCTTTCTGTCTCTCTCCCTCTCTCCCTCTCTCTCCCTCTCTCCCTCTCTCTCCCTCTCTCTATTTCTCTCTCTATCCTCATCCCTTGCTTTCTCTCTAGAACTTTGCATTTCAAATAAATAAATCTATATAAAAAAGAAAAAGTACCTCTGAAAAAGCAAAAGCAACCTTTGCTTTTTTGCATGAGGACAGAATCCCATAAAGTTCCCGCACATCTTGTAGAGTCACTGGGCGCCCAGAAGCCACACCTGCCTTTGCAGCATGCTGGACATCTCTGTCTCTGGCCCTTGGTCATTCCCAAACACCTTCTTCACATTCTAACTGAATTCTCTGACAACTGCATCACTCTCTACTGTGACAATCACACAGAAAGTGGGTCGGACGCAAAGCCCAGTCTCTGCGGGCTAATTTGGTTTGGACAAGACCGATACCCAGTACCCAGGTATGAGAGGACTGGAGCGCAGCATGAGCAGCCAGACCTCCCTTGGCACGCAGCCCCAGGGCTTTCTGGGAAGAGGTGACCGCTGCAGAGGGTTTGCCCTCCTGCCTCCATCGACAGTGTGACACGGGGACCTGAAGAAGTCATGTCTGAAAAGGTCACGTTTGCACTCATCGGGCTGCTTCTCTCCCTAAAGGTGGGACAGCAGAGCTTCCCAGAACTGAGCTGGAAGGTCTGGGGAGTTTACGCCAAGGATCAAAAAGAATTCAAGGAAATAGGTACCTGAAGTTGGCAGGTGCTCTGTACCCAGGACTCACAGTGTG